AATAAATTCTATTTGAAGAATAAAGAAGGCATTTATAAACAAAAGCAAAACTGATTATCAACAGACTTCATCAAAATAAGATGTACTACCAGGTAAAGTATTAAAAAAAGGGAAAATTACCCTAGAAGATCCAAGATGAGGAAGAAAAGGAAAATTACTCTAGAAAGATCTAAGATGAAAAGAAAGAATGGTTGAAGAAATAAATGATACCATATATGCAAAACCAAACAAATAAGCATACTATCCCAGAGTATTTTTGAGGATAGATTAAAATATAAAACACAACAGGGTATAAATTTTTAAAAAGACATTAAACACTGGGTGCTAGTAGCTCATGCCTATAATCCTAGCTACTTGGGAGGCTGGATCAGGAAGACTGTGGTTTGAGGCCAGACTGAGCAAATAGTTCACAAAACCCCATTTCCAAAATTACCAAAATAAGAGCAAAATGGACTGGAGGTGTGGCTCAAGTGTTAGAGTGCCTGCTTTACAAGTGGTAAGCCCTGAGTTCAAACCTTAGTCCCACCAATTGAGAGAGAGAGAGAGAGAGAGAGAAAATTTCCTAACTTATCCCATGTGGTTTATATAACTGTTATACCAAAACCAGTACAAATAAAGGGAAATCACCAACTACACATATATATAAATTTAAATGTCTAAATGCAAAACAAGGATTAGCAAACAATTGCTGTTTATTTAAAAGATAATCATGACCAAGTTAGGGTAATCTCAGCAAATAAGTAATAGCTTAATATCAGAAAAACATACAACTCTAATTTCCCACAGAAACATATCAGTACAAAAAAGCAATTATGATCACCTAAAAAGCATCTGATAAAATTCAGTATCCATTTACAGTTGAAAATCCCTTGGAAAATTAGAAAAGAAAGGGAATTTTCTTAATTTCATGTATGGTTTTATTAAAATCTTAACAGTAAAAAAATTTGGAAGCATTCTCTTTAGAAAGAAAAAAAGTAACAACACAAGAATTTCACTTTCAGTACTTCATTATTTAGAAGGTTCTTACCAGAATAAGAAGGGAAAACAAAAAGCCAAAGGGGGAAGGAGGAATAAAAACCTTGGGGTGGGAGGGAGAAACAAAATTGTCTTTATCTACCTGTATATACATTATCTGCCTGTGTATAAATTATTATTTATCTCCCTGTGTATAAGTTCAGGTGGTATTATAACCTGAATAGGTCTGTCAGAGTCTATTATCATTGTAAACATTCAGCAAGGTAAATGGCTATAAGATCAGTATTTTAAAAGCCCAACTAATTATATTTCTAAATACAAGCAAATATAAACTGAACATGTAGTTCAGATATGCAAATGAATATACACTTACACACAATAAAACTGCAATAGGCACCCCTAAAGACTAAATCTAACTAAAGAAATGCAAGAAGATTTTAACCAAACTCATTAAAGAATATCTCTATAAATGAAGAGATAGTCCTGTTTATTGGTGGACTCAGCTCTGTAAAGTTATGAATTCCACACACACTGATCTAAAGCATCAATATGATTCCAACATGGTATATAGGAAAAACCAAGGACTTGTGAAGCCAGGCTGCACAGATTCAAATCCTGACTGCCATCTGTTGTAGTGGGGAAATTATTGAGTCTGACTGATTAATTTCTTTACATGTAAAATGGAGATAATACCAGTAATACTTTAAAAGGCTGTTAGAATTATATGGGTTAATGTAAATAAATTTGCTCAGAACACTGTTACACAAGACTGTAAATGTTAGCTATTAATTAAAATCCTAATAGAGATTTCATGGAACTTGTAAAACTGATTCTCAAACACATATGTAAAAGCAGATCGATTTTGCTAAAATCAGCTAACACATTTATTTATTATGAAACCCATTATTAAGAGACAATAGCATTATTGGCACAGGGACAGTCAAATTAACACCTGAGTAGTCTACAAAGCCCCAGAACAGATTCATACATATATGAGTGTTTTATGTAAGGTAGAGATGATACTGTAGAACCCCAGGAAGGTAAGACATTAACAGAAGGTGCTGGGACAATAAGATCTTTACATTGTATCACAGGCAGAAATTAATGCCAGATGGCTTAGCAAGTTAAATGTGAAAGCAAAATTTACACTTTTTTGGAGGAATAAAGTACTAGAGAATCTTTGTGTATTTGAGGTGTAAAGTTACAGACGAGTATGAACTGAATGAAGGCGTGGCATTACTTTTCACACTAAGATGGTAATTTGAATTTACATATTTGCCACAGGATCTTTCTCCTCGGAGAAGCATAGGTGATATAATTATCCCTGCAATGCACGAAATTTCCATAGCCATAATAATATACAGTTTTTAAATTTTTAGAATAAAAAATGTTAAGAGCACAGATAATTTTGTTACAAGACAGAATGTAAATGTTGTAAGTAGAAGTTCTAAATGATCAAAGCTGAGAAGCAAAAGAAGAAGGAGAGGTTAAGGCTTGGGAAGATGCATTAATATTTCCATTCTACACAGTGCAGATGAACGGTACATAAAGCAGAGAGATAATTTCTGACGGGGGAAAAAAAGAAGAGGGGCAGTGGTAAGTGAGCAAAACACACTATCGTAACAGGAAGATAACAGATGGTATCTAAAGTTAAATATCAAGAAACAGGATGATAAGCATATGTGCAAGTGCCATGGAGGCCACTAAGAGAATTAAAAGTAACCCACTGTCTGTAGTTCTTGAATATTACAGCAATAATTATTTTTAAAGCAGGTCTCACTTTACAAACAACATTCATCAAGGCCAGTGACTCATGTTTATAAAGCTAGCTAACTGGAAAGCTGAAATCCAGAAGACCATGACTCAAGGCCAGCCTAGGCAACAGAAAAAAGCTGAGTCACTGCAGTCCCAGTGACTGCAGGAAGCTTAAAATAGGAGGACTGAGGTTCAGGTCAGCCAGGGCAGAGAGCAAGACTCTATCTCTAAAATAACTACAGCAAAAGGGACTGGAGGTGTGGTTCAAATGGTAAAGTGTCTGCCCAGCAAGTGTGAAGCCCTGAGTTTAAACCCCAGTACTATAAAAAGAAATAAAAACAGACAGGAAAATAAGTACTTCCATATATATTATTTTAGTAGTGTTTGAGGGTGAATTACAAAGTTCTAAGTAGAACAAAGGTAAAACAGAACTATGGGCAAAGAAACTATTATTTTCATTCTAAAGCTTCAACTATGATTAAGAAAATTCCTAACTCTACTTAGTTTTTGCAATATGCTTTATAGTTGTTATAAGAAAGACTTCATTAAAAAAAAGCTGTCTGAGAGAAGAGTGAACACACACACGCATCACTTTGAGAAAAAGTAACAAGTGGGCCATCACGTGACCCATCCTATCACACGCATCGTAAGTGTGGACCAAACCTGCAGCATCTCCATGGTGTGCATGCAGTGCTCTGTCTGATCACATGCTTTTTCAGCCTAGCCACACCACACTTCTTTCAGTTCTTAAAGGCCATCATGTTCCCTCTTATCCTCATGTCCTTTGAACAGTATGAAAGTCAGTGTGGGAGATGACACCTTCTCTGTCACCTGGCTATCTCTACGCTAACCTATAAATTTGATGAGGGTAACTACTTTCTCACAGTAGCCTTTAAACTTAGTACAATTTGCAAAACATTTTGAAAATGAATGAATTTAGTATCAAAAACCCCTGGAATGGACAAAACTGTTACAAGTGAAAGAGGACCTACAAATGATTTGTAAGGAAAAGCAAGTCAGTGAAGGGGAAAGATGGGAACATGGTTAGTGGATGCTATGGTTCACATTGACAATGATGACCAAGACAAATTGGTGACAAATTTAAATCCTTTTAGGAAAAGGAGATCAGCAAATATCTGTTGTGCCAGTATACATTAATTTTTTAAAAATATAGTTGAGAAATAGGTAATATTTACTATTAAGTAACCTGGGAGACATGTAGATCCATTTATTCTTTCAGTTACTATTTCTTAATGCCTCGGTAAAGATGTTACTTTAAACCATGGACACAGATTTATTGTTTAAAAAACACTTAAGTACTTTACTGACTCAAACCAAATCTGGAAACTAGTAACTTACCGTTGCCATATGGAAATGCACGTGCAGAACGACTATCATAACCAGAGGAATGCCCACTGTCAAGGAAAAGAATGTATTTTTATGTCTCTTGCAAATAAACCCCCAACCTTAATAGTTTGATATGAGTGGGAACAGCACCATAAGGTCATAGCTTTTCTGTTCTAGATAGGGCCATGCTGCGCTGTCCAGGCTGGCCTTGGGCTTCTGTGCTTTTAGTTGACCCTCCCATTTCAGCCGCCCAAGTTACTGGGATGACAGGTGTGCAACCCGTGCCCAGAAAATCATAACTTCCATTTACATTAAACGAAATCTTTAATTATGTAATGTTATTTTTTTAATACAGAAATTCTATAGGCTTTTTAACCACTAAAATATTAAACCTAACGCCTAATTTTAAAGAAAAACACAATTTGCTAGTACTATTTAACATGAATAATACAATCAATTTCAGCTTGGCTCATAGTTAAAAAACAAAAATGTTGAGGCTGGCAGAATATTTGAGATTTTTAAATTAATTTTTTAATTGGCCTAATGGTTATAAATCAGTAACTCAGCCCCACTGATAAGATTAACAGATAATATCTTCTAACATTTTGATTGAAAAACAAGTATATGTTTAACAAGGACTCAATAAAATCTAATCCTTATGTTCTTACAATTCACGAGTTTCTGAGTTTCATTGCCTTTGAACACCATATACATGATTTGCTGCTACTAAGGTAAAGTTCTCACCATTTTTCTTTCTTTTTACATAATTTGAAAAAATTTTTAGAAAGAGTAATAGAGGGCATTTGGCACTGAAAGGGGAAATAAAAACAGTTCCTATTTATTACTCAATTTTATCTGCTGACTTCTATCTGCCAAGAACTGTGCCCTGGTCATGTGTCACTGAAAGTTTTAATCTCCACAGCTCTAACAATCTCTACAATGAAAAGAAAAACAATTCTCAAAGAGATTATGGACTTTGCCTAGCAACACTGTGATTCCAAACCTTTGTTAAACAAAATATTGTCACCCATCAGGGGAACCCTGCTCAATACAACATTCTACCCAATATAAACTGTAAATATAAGGTATAAGAAATAAGATCAATGACATGCTGAATGGATCCAACAAGTCCCTGTGGAAGCTAAGATGCAGCAGGGCAGCAAAGAATAAGGCAACTTTTCTTTTTTACAGAAGTTCAGTAACACTTGTCCTTACTTAATCCCAAGAGAGATATGCATTATTCATGATTTCCAGGAAACTGCTGTACTTTCCACAAAACTGAACAGCCACAAATCAAAACCAGACCCTATTCTGAAATACTATCAGTTCATTATTTTTGTCCAATTTTGTTATCAAGTTATAAGTCTAATACCTTACATAAAAGTAATTAATACAGATTGTATTTAAAACTAAATACTGAAAATATTATCAAGACTTGTGTACGATTCTTCTGTCAAAAGGCTAACAATGACCAGAAACTTACAGTATCCACACTGATTTACCTTTCTATTGTTGGTATAAGAGATGGAGGTGGAGCGCCTGGTGGAGGAGGAAAACCTGAAATAGTCAATCATAAAACAAAAATAATTAACAGAACTATATTTAATTTCAAGAGTGAAACAAAGTTGCTGTGTATGACTAAATTTCTGGGAACATAAACGTGCTTCTCTATGTTCTAGGAGACAGAAAAAAAATGCAGCTTAAACTTATAAAGAGCTTTTTGGAGCAATAAAAATTTCAATGAACAATCTGGCCTAACACACAGAGCACAAATTGGGAGTCAGGACACCTGGTCTTATTTTCAGCACCACACACAGCCCATTTTGTGAGTATGAGAAAGTTAATCTCAACACCTTACCTTTAGCATATAAAAAAAAAAAAGTAGTGTTGCCACCAAATGTTTTATTTAAAATATTTTAGAAGAAAAGCAAATAAAATAGCATTTACCTCTTTTAAAAAATATTGTGAGTATCAAATGTATAGAAATTTCCTTAAAATGCACAATTTGTAAATAAAACCTACCCAGTAAAGTATATCAATATTTAAAGCAGAGAACATCCACCACAACATATTTTAAATAGCATATCCCCAACAAACTACAAAGAAAGGCACATATGGAGTTTTTGGATTAGTCAGAGGAAAATAATTTGTACCTTTATATGGCAAAGTCTGCATTCTCAATAATTTTTAATACCTAAATGAAATACCACTGAATAATTTTGCTAAAGGGATCATAACAGTTACTCTACTCTGCACTTTCAAATTCAGTAGGTAACATAGCATTCCAACAAAACGACTTTTAAGATTTCACAACTTATGATACCAATTTTTTCCAAGTTTTAACAACTCTCACTATTAGGAAATGCATTAAATGATATCATGTAAATCGCTCATTCATATACTGTCCTGATGAGGACAAGTATTCCACTATCATAGTCTCCATGACTTTCTATACATTTGAAAAACTTTTCTACTAAGCCTCCTTTACAGTATTCTATGTAAAATGAATCCCAGTTCTCTTACCCCTTCTCAAAGCTTCATTTTAAATCAAAATCTAACCCTGCTTCAAGCTATTTCAAGTTTACTACATTCTTCACTGTACCCACCTTTAGGATCTATAACTCCTCCATTAAACATCAACATAAGCACAAAGTTTAGCAATTACCACAGTACTCCTAAGGTCCCCAATCCTACATTATACAGCCTGCCTCTCAACCACATTGATTTTTTAAACTAAAAAGACAAATAAATTCCTTTGATGTTTTCTAATAAATCTTTTTCAGACACATTCACACACAATCAGTGCCTCTATTCCACATCTAAGTATGTATACTACCCTGTGCAATCTAAACTTCTCTATTTCTATTTGTCCAGGTCATTTTGAATTTAGAGCCACCCTTCCAAGCATCATCACCTGTCATTCTCTTCATACTCCTTAGTTTTTAACACTGAACTCAGTAAGCACAGCTGCTAACAGGGTTCACTATCATACAATAAAAAGAAATAATTGACAGAAAATATAAAAAACAACACTGGGTCACATATAAACTCCTACTAACCATACCATTACAACAACGAACGATCACCAACCACTCTAAGAACCACCACCTGATCAGTTATCAATTCATCTAATTGCTGTGTGGTTCAGAATTTATTTTCTCATGATACTGAGTTATGACAGCAGGGTAAAAAAATCAGAAGCCACAATAAAGTCAAGATAAATTATTTTCTCTTAACACTTTATCATCTAAAAAATTCATTGGTCAAAAAAGCTTTTTTAATAAAGATTTTTTTATATCTCATACTGTTTTCGTCACAAATTGAAAAGGTGAAAATTTTCTCTGAATCTCTATTTCTACAGAAATGGGTGAGACAGGTATAAGAAAACCAAGTGTCTTAAAACTGGAATGAAGCAAAGGCAGAGCTGAAAATAGGACCTTGAAATCCCAATAGCCTACTCACATTCTACCACATCGACACTGTGCCTCCTGCAACTATGAGCTTGAAACTTCATGTTCATTAACAATGATGGAGAAAACATGAAAAAAAGTTTTACCTGGAGGTGGTACAGTTATTGGAATACCTAAAAAACAAGTGATGAAATTTAATATAGTAACTGGATTTCAGAACCTGTTATGTATTTATGCCATCACCAAAACAAACTTTGAAATAAAACCCCTCGCCTCATTATCCTGGCTTAGCACTCAAAAGCATTCTGTTTTCTTGCAGACCAACAATTCGAGTATAACATCCAACTTCCCTGATGAAAAACCAGTCTAACAACTTGATAACAAGATTTCCCCCACTAGCTGTAGTCACAAATGAAGTTAGACATCACTTACAAAGCACACTTGTGCGTACACAAAAATCAAACTCCGTAACATTAATGCTAACTAAATTTGATAACTGATGTCTGATTTTGTTATCTTAGCATTTTAATAGGGAAACTGAACTGTGGCTCTTTATCACTGTAGGTAGTACAAAGTAAATGAAGATTATGGGTATCATTCACTTTTGTAAAATTCAATGTTTGGGCCACTCAAGTGTTCAGGTCATTTACTATCGCTGGCAGGAGTGAGGGAATAGTCTGTATTTTCCTTGACTATAGAAGAAAAAGGGGGTACAGGAAATTCATTCACATACGCATACCCCCAGCAAACGTTAACATAAATTAGATGAATTATTTACTTCTACAGATGTCAGCAAATACTAATTTGAGTGACTCTGTCATTATTTGCACAAATAAACTTTAAGAAATAAACTATGAATGAACATTCGCAATTTACATTGGCCAAATATGGCCTTAAATACTAATGTCAAATTTATTTACTAAGTACTAAAATTAAATCCGCATTTCAAACTGAAGAGATACATAAAAGGCAATTTATGTGGCATACCAAACTGTGACTACTTTCAGTTGAAGAAACGTAATGATTTTTAAATAATAGGAAAAAAAGTTAAAACAACTTTTTCATGAAAAGTTTTATACCAAAAGAAAGTTCAATACAGTTGGAGTGTTTTGCTACTAAAAATCTATCTTAAAAAACTACATCAAAATGAGTCCAAAAGAGAGGGAAAAATCGAATTCATTAACCAAATGCATGCAAAAAAAGGAACAGAATCACTTTCAAATGTTTTCTTAATAATGGAACAATCGAAAACTTATAGTAATTTACTTAAAATGTTCTGACATGATTTATCAGAATGAGAGGTTTATGTAAAAGAAAGTCTTAAGATGACAAATGGCCTTAAAATACAGGCTGAAGTACCTGATTTAACCATCCATGCAATAAAAGGATACGCTACACTTACAAAACCAACAAGACTGAAATAGAAATGTAAAGCAGTCATGTTTCAGAAGTCAACAGGCTTCCATAAATCTAACAAACTAAAACTAACCCAGAGTTCATGGAAATTCTTATTCATCCTGAGGTTACTTTGTTGCTTCCCAAATCACTAAAAGAATCCAGCAGATAATACAAGCTAATAGTCCTAGACTCCAAGTTAGATGGGAAAATTAAGGAGGGAAGAGCATTAAATATTCTTAATATACTATTACTTAATTTTCTTTAAAACAGTACAGACTTTTAGGACACTATTGAACTTCACTAGTTGACCTAGTTTCCATACTTAAATACATGATTGTTTTCTTTGGTATGTAAGACTACATCAAAATCAGTCACCAATTCTGTGAGGCCATATTCCTAGTAACTACTGAAATGAATATATGAGTAGCTAATTTTATGTTTACCAAAATGTGAATTCATGCAAAAAATAAAATGTGAATTTTGACTGGCCCCATCAAAATTCAGTCCTCAAAAATAGCTAAGAAACTTTAAGAAAATAAACAAACAACCAAATTATGTACAAAGACAGTTAGTTAAAAGTTATAGTCTTGGGGCTGAGAGTATAGCTTGGGGTAGAGCACTTGCCTAGCATGGGCAAGTCCCTGGATTTGAACCCAAGCACCAAAATAAATAAGTAAACAAACAAACAAAAATTACAGTCTAACTTCAATGTCTATACGTTAGAAAGTTGGCACAGGATTCTTATGAGACTTCTATTTCATCTAAATGTAACTCTTTATTGGTAAATGTTGACTGAAAAGGACTATAAAGTTAATTAATGAAATATTACACAACTAATTCCTCAACAACTATCAAGTACATTTTCAAACTACACCTAAAAAGCTTCCTCAAGTGACACAAAAGGCCAACATTCTCATTTAAAAATCACTAGTATTCAAGTTCTTAACCAAAACAGACATAATGTAAGGGAGAGAAAAATCTGTCTCAAAAATCCTCCTCTCCCTGACTTGGTAGCCCCATATTCCTGGTCAACATGTAAGAAACTGCCTAACCTAGCCACTGGACTTGAAGCATACGAAACAAGTATTGTGCTTTTTTTCTATATCCTTTATCTGTAAAACGAGTAGGAAAAAAATGTTATTTTCCTGGAAAGCCTTCCGTAACAGGAGTAAGAGTAAGATTTCTAACAGTAACCAAAAACTTTTGAAAAAGTAACAGTCACACTTGCTCTAATGGAATGAATAGACTAGCAGTACTGAAACTTGATCCTGTATCAGAAATCACTTGCAGAGTTTGTTAAGTACAGATTGTTGGGCCCTTCTCCTAGAATTAGTGATTCAGAATGTTTAAGGTGAGTCCAAAAAACCTGCATTCCAAAAAATTTCCCGGAGATGATATTGCCGGCCTGGGACCATACTTTGAGAACCACTGGATGAGGTTATAAAGATCTCTCCTAATCTCACTGCTGAGAAACTCAATACTGAATATAGCTGAAAAATACTGTATTCCAAATTTTGATGAAACAAAATTTTTATGATAGTAAAATAGTATGACATTTTTAGAGACAGGAGAGAATATATTTAGTTTTTCCAGTATGCAATCCACACTCTTAAATGTGAAAGGGGATTAGGGGTGCAGGAGAGAGAACCTAAAATCCTACTTGGAGAATTGGGGCAAAGAAACAGAAAGGCAGTATTCTTGCTAGACAGAATATTAAAAAGAATTTACCTATGTTAAAAATTCCCACAAAATTAATTGTGAGCTCTGTAGTCACAAAAAATGAACAAAGACTATCTATAAATAAACTCATTCTCAATGTGCAAATTCTCATCAATTTGTGTAAGGCAGGTAAAAAAAGAAAGTGACAGACAACTTCTGCATGGTTCTGTGATTCCTGATACACATGCCTTTGCATGTTTCTGGTATTTGTGTTCTCCTGAGTATGGGCAAGACGTTATAACTTTATTTCTGACACACAGACAAATAACCAGCAACACTGGTAAGGCTATCACTTCCATGACTAGGTTACAAAAGACAGTGATTTGTATTTTGCTGGCAGCCTTTCGTTGATGAAGTAAGCTGCTATGCTGAAGAGGCTCACAGCCAGTGAGGAAATGAAGCCCTCTCAGCCCAACAGCCTAGGAAAACCTAAGTCCATTCTTTTTTTTTTTTTTTGGTGGTGGTGGTACTAGAATTTGAACTCAGGGCCTTGTACTTGCTAGGCAGATGCTCTACCACTTGAGCAATTCCATCAGTCCCAAACCAAGTTCTTTTAACAAAGAGGTGATTAAGTTGAAGAGTAATCCTTCTTCAAACTGTTGGACCTGTCTGTGAGGAGTAAGAAAGACCCTGAAGTGGAGAACTCAGCTAAGGTAGTCTAGATCCCTGGCTTAGAGAAACTGTGCAATTTTAAGCCACTGCATTCTGCAATAATATGTGATGTGAAATAGAAAAGTAATACATGTAATAACTATCTGTCTTTTCTCTATGAAGCTCAAGAGAAAAAGTGGCTGAATTATGTGAATTCTGCTTCCTATTTCTCACTAAATTCCAAATTCTATCAGAACTCACAAAACTTAAATCTCATGATTTCTACTTAAAAGCTATCAAGCTTAAAAGTAAGCTTGCACAATGCATTTGAGTATAAAGAGTCAAGGTACATAAAATCTTTAAATATCACCTTCTACCAGAAATGCTTTTCTATATATCTGGATTTTAAAAATTAGACACACACATACATATATACATACCACCACACTACCACCTATCATTTGCCCCCCAAAAATTGAATGCACATACTATAAACCATTTTTAATGATTAAAGCAATTAATTAGAGTACAAGGATGAACATAATTTTAAAAAAATTTATTAAAAATGCTGTAGTCACCCACACAAAAAAACCAAAAAGTTATCAGCATACTTCATATCTAAAAATTTAAGATAACCTTACATTACTGTAAAATGGACAATTTTATCTTTTTAGCACCATGTAAATCCTCTAGTTTATAAGATATAAAGGAAATTAAAATTCCATCTTAAATTAAAACACATTTGACAGAAATATCAGTGTTTTTATGGAGAACTGATAAAAGTAGTGGATTTTTAACACATCACCTATAATCATAAAATGACTGGACGATCAGCACAAAGAAAAGGCAGATATTAAACCCTAAGTAGATTTTATGAACTGCAGTGTCATAAAATACAATATAGTATTTTAAGGGGAGCATCCATGGAGGAAAAAGACACTCAAAAACAAACTTCCCGAGAAGCTTTCAATCCCTATGAAATTTACATTTGAATTAATTGTGCCAGAAAATACTATTACAGGAATTAGCAACATTCTGCACTCAAGTTTACAAAAAACTGTTTTTTTAAAGAAGGAAACAACAAAAGAAAAAATGAGTACAATTCTTAAAACCTGTTTTTCCAAAGGTACTTCTAAAAAATATGTGTATTTCTGGCAAGCAGTGGCAATATGAAGTAACTTATTGGGTACAAACAAAAATCCATAGCACAATAGCATAATATTATATTCATAAAATAACTTAATTTGAAAGGGCAAAACTCAAAAGTAATACTCATCTAATACAAGCCAACCTTCTGCCAAGGCAATAAACAGTTCTCAAAGTTTTTTGTCCACGGATCCCTGGGAGTCTCTATTGAGACCCTTTCCAAGGTCAAAATCACTTTCATAAAAATACTAAAATGATAGGCATAATGGCGTACACCTGTAATCTCAATACTTGGGAGGCTGAGGCACAAGGTTCAAGG